GGTCCAGTAAAAGTATAGTGCCTTACAAGGATATATAGATAAGAAATGAAACGTACCACCATTTCGCGAGTACATTGCACCACTAACGTAGCCCGAAATGAATGATGTCAAAGCATAACATACTATGAATGTCGTTACAATGGCTCCTCTCCTGGAAAAGAATGCACAAATTCTATTTCAGCTGACCATCTTAAAAAAGTAACAAATGAACAGAGCTACTGTAACAACTACTTGTAGCATCTAATAATTCCATTACAATGCTATAACTTAACTCAAAACCATGAAAACAGAAGTACCATAATCTACTCCTACATAAATAGGCAACAACTACAGTTCAAAGGTTGATATCAAGTATTTAACATACCCAACATACAACATCCCCACAATTGCCAACAGAATGACAAGGAGAACAAGCAATGCCAGCTGTGCCCCAGTACCAACAAGAGCAGAAAGTAACACTAGGGTACGAGGAGTCCGAAATACATCTCCATGAACAAGTTTCCAACCAGACTCTTCACTCACATCTCTTTCCTGAAACGAAAACAATAATGGTTAAGAAAATAATAATAAAAAGTTAAAGCTTATCCAACAGAATGCTGTTTAACCACGAGGTTGTTACCAGAGTCTCCAAGTCATCATCTTCCCTAGCATATTTGGCGTAATCATTCCTCAGCGTCCGCATCAATATCATAGACACCAGACCAGTAAGAAAGATGACCATCATGAAGGAGTTAAAGATGGAGAACCAATGAATCTGCAGAGTACATACCAAATTACAAACTACACGGCGAAAAATGAATCCTATGGTACTAGCTTAAATACAAAGAGATGCTTTAAAACATTAGATTGATCCAACTACAATGATTAAATATATTAAAAATAACAGATAGCGGTCAGGAAAAATATGCATGCAAAGGTCAAATGTGTTAAGGTAACGCACCATCACTAATTCAATAGTTGGAGTGGACCAATAAAATTAAGAGAAAAAAAATTATGCAATTAAAGTCCACCTGATGTTCAAAAAATGGGTAATCCAAGTAAACTTCAAAACGGCGAGCAAAACTGATATTGGTTGGTTCCCATTTGACAGAATATGTCATGTCCAATGTTCTGCTAGCCTCCAAAGGCTTTGAGCCCTCTTGAGAAATATTGACATGAATGATCTGCAAGAACAAAGTCATGGTGAAAATGAATATGCAGACTATCCACCAAAACTGGATGAGATGATCAAGTCACAAACCTGGTCCTTATTGTATCTAATATGGATGTTCTTATGTGTGTAAAGTACGTGCTTATTATCACTGTTTTTGTCAGGATGTTGCTCTCCAACAAAACCTATAACACAAGCAAAAACAACTTAGTACCACCTACATTTCATCTCTTGCCAAGAAAAGTTAAAAGACTGAGAGAGTACGTACCCCACAGCGGCAGGTCATCTGAAAAAATTCAACAAACCGGAAACAAAAGAAGGTAAAGGTCAAGACAAGAAAAATCATTAGAATTCAAAAGAATCTAAAATAAAGCAACAGAAGGCAGAACATCTGGAAAACGGGGGGAAAGTTCAGTGCTGAAACAGAAGTAGGTAAAAATCAAGACAACCAAATTAACTTGAAGTCAACAGTAATGTGGCAATTAAACAATAAATAAGAAAGTATATTTTATATTAATGTAGTAACAACTTTCAGAACAATACTTCAATAAGAAAATAACAGAGAGGTGAAGCCTCACCAATATATGATGCATTAGGCGTGAAATGCAAATGTATTTTAATAGAAGAATAGCCAGTATCTGAACATATACTATTCTTAGATTTTCATTGGTCTAGAACTGTACAGTTTCCGAAGGATAGCTTCAGTTGAGGCTTGGGTTGAAGAGATGAAATATAACCAAGATATATCTTTTTTATCAGAGGTTGAATCGATCATCACAAGAAGGATTACGCCCTTGCCCTCATTAAAATAGGAGGATATTTTCTTGCAATTGCCAACAAATAAGGGATAAGAAAACCGAGAAAAGGGTTTCAAAGTCATGCAGAGGTGTCATTGCAGGGAATCTTCATAAGAATGCATAAAATGTTCCAATTAATCTAAACTTCTCACTGCAAATTCAGACTTCCTTCAGCCATAAAATTAAAGTAATACCAAAGAATAAAAAACAAGAAAAATATACCAAAGAATAAAGTTTGTTACCAATGAAGAATTCAAACCAATAATTGTTTTCAATAGCATCTTTGAATTGCTTGACCTTCGCTTCATCAAGTTCAAGCTCACAAATGCTACCCTTGTCCACGTTTTCTATCAAACATAAATAGTCCATGTCAACCTCAAATCAAACAAGAATAGCCAGGAGTCAGACTGAAGGGGATTCACATACTTTGAAACCTTATGTCAATCTGACTATCAATAAGCTCGTTTCCACCCAAAACTTCACCAAGGCCACCCCACTTGTGAGAACCAGAAGCATGACAGAATGGAAGGCTGTAATAGTTGTATGTTTCCTGTGGGTTATTATACGGCCCAACTTTGTTTACCCACAGAGTAACTGGGTCATCTGATTGATACTGTTGGACAAAGCATAGGAGTCAGATAGAAGCATTTGCATGTAGCAAGTCCTACGTAAGAAACAAAAGCAAAAGCATATTGCAGAATACATCCACTTAATTACTGCACATTGTAATACTTCCCAGGAATTTACAGGAAACAAATATGAAGATTAAATATTTTCTCCTCTCTAGAAGATACTTCAACTCACAAATGTGCATAAGTGAACAAAATTTAGGGCAACGAAGCAGACAAACTTGCATTGCTTAAAAGCACAAGCAAAAAGAAAGGTACAGGATTAACATCTTAACCAAACACCAACAGGCAGAAGCATAAGGGAAAAGATACCCTAAAATACGACTGCCCTTTTTTTAATCAAGTAGAGAATGCCCTTACACCACATCTGTCCATTAAGCAGCATAAGTGCTAGAACTGAATAGATTGAAATGTCAAACGAGCTATAAATACTCCTGAATAGAAAATCCTAGATCATCACCCTTGCCGAAGGAACAAGTATTACCATAATATGAGAGAAAGAGAAAGTGGCAAAACTGAGTTGCTCTTAAGATCTTTCCCAGAAATGCAGTATGAGTACATCGATGTTTATATAGTTATAAACCTCACATAGTGAGAGAAAAAAGAAAGTGGAAATTGAACGTGTGAACTTTTGTTTACAACACCACAGCCTAACCAATTGAGTGAGGCCTAATTGGCCAGAGTTAATATAAAATGAGTGGGCAGCTCAAATTATCCAATATCGATCTGTATAAACAAATCCATTTGCACAACAAAATGGAGAGCTTAAAAAGTACATATGTCAAAAATAATAGAGTATTACATAGCTTACTCCCTTAAGATCGATATGACACTGAAACCATAAGTTCAAATAAATTGCTGAATGGCCATTAGTTACTTGAACAAACTTCAGCTCAAAAGTTTCTAAATTCCACCAGGATCAGTCAATAAGCAGTTTTATAGTTATATATGCAACATGCACCATCAACTACGATTTCACCATCTTCAAATGCGAGACTCTCTAGCACCACCGCCAATCCACTACGCGCACCTACTAGATACCCACTCTACCAGGTCCACCAGTCCACTAATTAGCCTTTTATAATAGAGTATGCCCCTGAAGCTACTTTTAATGGATACTTTAACCTCGCTCATCGACAATGTAGTGCACCTGTCTCATCAGTTCACTCCTAATTCCTCCAATAGCAACACATTGAAGCCATCTAATATCTGAACTAAAAAGGGATCACCTTTTCGTCCCTTTCTTGATCTTTTCATAGTAATAAGTTGAGTTCCACCACTCAACCATGCAAACTCACATAAATCACCTCATTTCTATCTTAGACGCATGAAATTAAGCAAAACAATCTCACATCAAACCTCAGTCATTGCAACTACATATCATCTGCAGAAGGCAACGGCCATGATCGAATCCTCCTCCGAATAGCCGCAGAGGCACATTCTGAGGGACCTGTAAGTGGCTTTTGTTTCACTATTTTACAACATAATAATCAGCAGATATAACCAAACAAGTGTTATACTTACGAATAGCATATAAAACACCTGTATGACAAATTTGAGATCAGGAGCAAGAAAGTTCGTTGAGATCGAAAGTCAAACCATGCAATTTGCATTAACAAAACGGTAATTACACTCATTCCCTTGTGAATCAATCTATCAAAACTTGCAAAATTCCGAAATCAGAGAAGCAATGCACAAAAGAAGATCTCGCAATTGGAGTTCCCATAGATCTGAAAAGCATAAGGATGCTTCTAACCGAAAAAGAAACAAAATGAATGTGTACAAATTAAGAAATTGAAAGAGAAGAACGATATTAGGGTTTTCCGCGGTTCCTATATCGAACATTTTACCTTGTGATCGGACTCGGAAGCAAGCGCCGGCGAGACGACAAGGAGAGCGGCGAGGAAGGAGAACAGAGTTAGTGATCGGACGGTGGGCCGCATCATAATCGTCGGCGACGTTAGGGATTGGAATAATGGCAGAAGAGACGGGGGATCCGACCCAAAGTCGTGAACGGATTTTATATTAGTAGATGATGATCTGATTTTTTGACAAATAGAGACCCAGAGAGAGGGGGGAGCAGCAGACAGCAGAGTACTATAAAAGCTGTTTAATTATCACAAATAAACAGCTGAATGACAAAAAGAAAAAAGAAAACTACAAATAAAACTGTAATCTCACTAATTCAAATCTGTTATGAAAATAATTAAATTGTGAATGTTCATTTATTACTCCGCTATAGATAATTTTTCTGAAGAAGATTATTCATTTAGTATTATGTTAAAGTTTATCTACAAGCAGCTGATACAGGCAGGTTGCAAGCAGCTCAATTAAATGATTTGCAGCAGTTTCTTATTAAATAGGCAGGTTGCAAGCAGCTCATGCAGACAGCTTACAAGCAGCTAAAGAAAAGTCTTGCAGCTGCTTCCTGAAAAGCCTCGCAACTGCTTCATTTCTTCTATAAATAGAGGAGTTTTCAGTTCATTATGTACATAAGTTTCAAGTTTGAATAATATATCAGTTTCTCTCTATACTTGTCTTTACTTTACAGTTTTTATTTTATAACACGTTATCAGCACGAGACTCTGCCATCTCGAGAAAATACTTTGAAAGTATCAGAGGTACGAACTTTCTTTTTCTAAATAATGTCAAATCTTTCTAAACTTGGGTTTGTAGCCCTGGATAGATCGGGCAAAAGCTACATGTCTTGGGTGCTTGATGTCGAAATTCATCTTGATGCGATGGGTCTGGCAGACACCATCAAAGATAAAAATCAGGCATCAAACCAAAATCGTGCCAAAGCAATGATATTCCTACGCCATCACCTTGATGAGGGCCTGAAAATGGAATATCTTACTGTTAAAGATCCAGTCATACTGTGGAATAATTTGAAAGATAGATATGACCACCTGAAGATGGTCGTTCTTCCACAGGCACGTTATGATTGGACTCATCTAAGGCTACAAGATTTTAAATCTATCAGTGAGTATAATTCTGCTATGTTCAGAATTATTTCTCAATTGAAATTATGTGGTGATAATATTACTGATCATGATATGTTGGAGAAAACTTTCACCACTTTTCATGCCTCGAATATGCTCCTGCAGCAGCAATATCGAGAGATGGGATTTAAAAAGTATTCTGAACTTATCTCACATCTTCTTATAGCAGAGCAACATAATGGGCTATTAATGAAAAATCATGAAAGCCGACCTACTGGTTCTTGTCCATTCCCTGAAGTGAATGAGACGAACTTTCACCAAGCTAAGCGTGGAAGAGGATGTGACCCTAGTCGTGATCATGGCCGTGGTCGGGGAGGAAACTCTAATCGTGGTAATAACAATGCACCAAAGAACCCTCCTCACCACCAGCAGTGAAAAAGGAAGGAACAAAAGTATGAAGCGGTGCAAGAAGCAAAGCCAGAAAATGCATGCTATAGATGTGGAGGAAAAGGGCGCTGGTCACGTACATGTCGTACACCAAAGCACCTGGCTGAGCTGTATCAAGCCTCCCTGAAGAAGACAGAGAAAAATGCTGAAGCAAATTTTATTTCTGAAGATAATTTAGACTTCATGCATTTGGATGTAGCTGATTATTTTGCACTCCCAGAAGGAGAAAGAAGTCATGTGATCAGTAGTGAATCTGTAGAAATGTAAATATTTTAATTTTTGTTGTTTTTAGTAGATAGTATGGTTATGTAATTGTTGTACATAAATAAAAGTTATGCTTTGATAATAATGTTTACTATCATATTTATTTTGTTATGTCATTTTGAAGAAAATGGATAATCCTCAAATTATGTTTGGATCAAAGACCAATCATGAAGATATTTGTGTAATTGATAGTGGAACAACTCATGCCATATTCAAAGATCAGAAATACTTTTCTTATTTGCATAAGGAAAAAGCAAATGTTTCTACAATTTCTGGTAATATAAGTTTGATTGAAGGCTCCGGAAGAGCTATTATATTTCTGTCTAAGGGAACAAAACTTATTATAGACAATGCATTGTTCTCCTCCAAGTCCCGAAGAAACTTGTTGAGTTTTATAGATATCCGTCGAAATGGGTATCATGTTGAGACAATAGATGAAATGAACGTGGAATATCTTTGTATTACAAAGAATATTTCTGGCCAGAAATGCATTGTAGAAAAGTTACCAACTTTATCTTCTGGCTTATACTATTCAAAGATTAGTACAGTTGAAGCACACTCTATCGTAAACCAGAAGTTTACTGATTCAAATACTTTTGTGCTTTGGCATGGCCGTTTGGGCCATTCTGGATCAATAATAATGAGACGAATTACTGAAAATTCGAGTGGGCATCCATTAAAGAACCTGAAGATTCTTACAAATGATGAATTTTCTTGTGATGCTTGTTATCAAGGCAAAATGATCACTAGACCATCACCAATGAAGGTTGGCATTGAGTCCCCTACCTTTTTAGAACGTATACATGGGGATATATGTGGACCTATTTACCCACCAAGTGGGCTGTTTAGATATTTTATGGTCATAATAGATGCATCTTTAAGATGGTCTCATGTTTTCCTACTATCATCTCGCAACCTGGCGTTTGCAAAGTTATTAGCTCAAATAATTCGATTAAGTGCACAATTCCCAGATTATCCTATAAAGGCTATTCGCCTTGATAATGCTGGAGAATTCTCATCTCAAGCTTTTGATAATTACTGTCTATCAGTTGGAATAAAAGTTGAACATCCTGTAGCTTATGTTCATACTCAAAATGGCCTTGCAGAGTCATTTATTAAACGGCTGTAATTGATAGCAAGACCACTACTTATGAAAACAAAATTGCCCACTACTGTTTGGGGCCATGCTATCTTACACGCAGCATTACTTATCCGTCTCAGACCAACACATTATAATAAATACTCTCCGTCACAATTAGTTTTTGGTCATGAACCAAATATTGCCCATCTACGAATTTTAGGATGTGCTGTATATGTGCCAGTAGCACCACCACAGCGTAGTAAGATGAGCCCCCAAAGAAGGTTAGGAATATATATTGGGTCTGAATCACTCTCTATTATTCGCTATCTTGAACCATTGACGGAAGATTTATTTACTGCTCGATTTGCAGATTGTCGATTTGATGAAACAAATTTCCCACAATTAGGGGGAGAGAAAAAGGTAATCAAAAGAGAAATTGTGTGGAAAATTTTATCATTATCTCATTTTGATCCACGTACCCCTATATGTAATTAGAAGGTCCAGAAGATCATCCATTTATAAAATATAGCAAATCAAATGCCAGACGTGTTTACTGATTTAAAAAGGATAACTAAGTCACATATCCCTGCAGAGAATGTGCCTATACGAATTGATGTCCCAGCAGGACCATCTACTAGCATAAGAACTAGTGAACCTAAAGCACACCTGAAGCGTGGTAGGCCTTTGGGTTCTAAGGATCGAAATCCTCGAAAAAGAAAATCGACAAATGATCAAAACGATACTATGAAGGGATCCCCTGAAGAGACCCAAAATCTGATTAGTTCTGAGATTCCTGAAGAAATCAATGAACCCGAAGCTCATGTGAGTGAGGAACTTTTAATAAGTTCGAACGGTGATGGGATTAATTTAAATCGATTTGAAATAGTGGTGGATAATATTTTTGCATATAATGTTGCACTTAATATTATGCAAGATAGTGAGGATCTTGAACCTCGATCTGTCGAAGAATGTCGACAAAGATCTGATTGGCCAAAATGGCAAGAGGCAATTCAATCGGAATTGAAGTCACTTGCTAAAAGAGAGGTCTTTGGACCAGTAGTCCAAACACCTGCTGGTATAAAACCAGTTGGTCATAAATGGGTTTTTGTGCGAAAAAGGAATGACCAAAATGAAGTTGAAAGATACAAGGCTCGCCTTGTCGCACAAGGATTCTCACAACGACCTGGAGTCGATTATGAAAAAACATATTCACCAGTTATGGATGTTATAACATTTCGATATCTCATCAGTTTAGCCTTACGTAAAAGACTTGAAATACNNATAATGAGATTTACATGAAAATCCCTGAAGGATTTAAAATGCCTGAAGCATATTCG